TACACACACATATATGTTTGTGTATGTATATATACATATGTATAAATAAATATGTATGCACATATATGTACACATACATACATACATATATATATATATATATATATATGTATATATACACTCATATATACGTATGTGTATATATACATATATGTATATTAATATATATATATACATATATATATATATATATATATGTATGTTTATATATACACACGTATATATATGTATATATGTATATATATATATATATATATATATATATGTGTGTGTGTGTGTGTGTGTGTATGTGTGTAGATATATGTATATATGTATCTATATAAATATATATTCACATAGCAGAAACCTATCTTAGTTATCACAGTTCAATTCGAATGGATTTAACATTGATATTAATACACTTATCAAGCATCACAACCTTCAATTTCCTGCATGGAAACATGGCTTTTAATGCTTAGCACTTAACAAAAACCCGTCTGAGAAATGCTGGTGAATATCTGCCAGTCCCCCCCCCCCATCTGAATTGTGAACACTTGAACAAACTATTTACGGATAATTACTATAATTTATTCTAGTATTTACAACACTACCTTTTGCTATACTGATATGTCTTCAAAATAAAAATACGTAAATAAACATTTGGGTGGGGTTTGGCATTTCTACGTAGACCAGACATTTTTACAATTTTAACCAAAGCATCTTTTAAGTGTCGATTCAATATCGACCTCGACATATATACATATATATACACATAATGTTCAAATGAATATACACACATATCCATATATTCACATGCATTCATGTGTGTATATAAATTGCGAGCAATATTGCAAAATCGTTAGTCAGAAAACCAGAATGCAATACTTCAGGAAACCACTCCCATGCAAAATCTATTTTTAGATATCTAGTAATAAACACACGGAGTGATATAAAAGTCGCGCTGTCTCTCGCAAATTCTGAATTCAGTTTGAATCATCCAGCATGAAGTAAGTATCGAAAAACCTCACTCTGTAATTAAGTTTGAGACCCAAAACCGTAATGTTTTAGCGGCCGTAGTGAGTTTAGTACGTCAGTGTTAAAACGCAATTCGCCCCATGGGTAAAAACTCTTGTATTTATGTAGATGCTCTTGTGAGAAATAGGGTGAGATTGTTTTCTGTCTCTAGTGCTCAGGTGACGTGAATTTGCAGGAAGGTATTGTTATATAACTACTGTCAGGATGTAACTGTGATTTAGACAAAGATATATGATGATTAAGCGACTCTCAGTCGGTCTAGAAGGCGGGGAGCCCTGACACTTTTACTTTTCTCCAGTTATAAGATTATACATTAAAAAAATATATATATCCATATGCGTTTGTGTATGTGCATAAATAACACGCACAAATCAAATGCATATACATATATACGTGCAAATGCACATGTATATTCACATATATATCGCTTTACAGGTACTTCGAGTTCCAGACTTGTATTGCCACACCAAAGACACATGCGACTATGTCTTCCTACTAACATATGTTTATACCCGTTTTGAATTTTCCATATATCTTTTGGTAATGGATGGTGGTGCTTTCCCTTTTTCATTGATCCAGAGTCATGTCGCTGTCATTTGGGTTTGCAATCGCTATCATATCCTGATGAGTCGTAATGCATAGATCAGCCAGAAAGAATCAAGCTAGTAACTAGAGTGGCTTCATCATCGTAACTTTAGTCGTTATCAGAATCCTAATAGTAAATAGAATCGAAATTATAATCGCATTTAAACAGTGGTTCTACAGCATATGGAAAGATCTTATATATGTATATATATGACATCATTCTCATTTCATTGCATTTGATATTGCCATGCCAGTTATCCTTCTTATCGATGCTGACATCATTACCGTCAGAATAATTAGTGTTGTTATTGTACCACAGAAACCATCTTTGCAACAACAGTCCTCGTGGTGGTGATGGGCGCAACCGACGCCTTCTCTGCCCCAGGGAAGCATGGGTCCGCCCTCCGCACTGCTATGGAGGCAAAGGAACAGTCCCTTGCCTGAATTAAGAGGTAAGGAAAGAGGGAGATTGGAAGAGTCTGAGAAGGGTGATGAGGGAGGGAAGAAGGTACGGAGAGAATGGGATAGATGGATGGATAAAGAGACGGAGACAGTGAGAGAGAGTGAGACAAAAATAAAAGAAAGAGAGAGAGAAAGAATATGACATTAAATCTCTTGAATGTTTCCACTAATATTTTGTATGTCAAACAGGACCGTGGATGATCATGACCATAATGAATGATGCTCGTGAGCATAAAGTGGAATCCCATGGCCATGGCAGCAGCGAAACCATTGTTCATGACACTACGGAGAAGAAAGGCCAACACCATGATTAGGACCATCATGATTCCCATGTGCACAAGGGGAGGCCCATGATCACAGCAGCAACAAAACCCATGTTCATGACATTATATGCGATTATGACGGTCATGATCATCGTATTAACGTTGACATGACAATGTCAGTGTTATAATCTTTATTGTGATAAACAAAGTTAATAAATTCACACCTATTTTTCATTGCGTTTACTTCTTTATATACTATACTGGCGAACTGAAATGACATGATTGCATCCTCTAATATTTCATTTGACAAGTCTCAGTGATTTCTTCCTTGCAAGAAGGTTTAATAGCGGGAAATCCTAGCAAGAGGTACTTCAACCTACATGTCCACATTCTGTTCATCACTTGCTGATCTTGCTACACAAACAAAATGCTCACACTTACGGATTACACCATACCCATTCAGTTTCCACAGTGCTTGCCCACTGATGAGCCCTCCTGTAAAATACTTTTTTACATACACATAATCGTACACTGCTTTGTTTCCTGTTTCACACTACACATACACACAGCACATTTTAATTTGTGGTGAAATTCAGCGCCCATGTCATAAAATCGAGAATTCAAAAAAATTGTGTTACACATATTTCTGTATGAATATACATATATAGGCATACATACACATATATATATGTATATATACGCACACATGCACATTTATATGTGTGTGTGAATGTACGTATTTGCAATTATATATCCAAACATAAATATATACATATATATATGTATATACATACATATATATGTATATACGCGTGTGTGTATAATAATATATGTAATGATGATAGTAATAATGATAATAATAATAACAATAATGATAAAGATGATAATTTTGATATTAATAACAATTATGATGATAATAATAATAATATCAATAATACAAAAGATGATAGCAGTAATAATAATAATAATGGTAATAAAAATCATGATAACAATTAGACTAATAAAGATAACAGCAATAATAATAAAAAATAATAATGATCATGGAATGAAAATGATGATAACGATCATGATAATAATAATTATAACAATGATGATAACAAAATTAATAATGATGAACAATAAGGGCAATGATGATGATGATGGGTATAGTAATAACAATAATAATAATAATAATAATATATAATAATAATATAATATAATAATAATAATAATAATATAATAAAAGATAAGAAACAATAATTATGGCATTTGCCATAATAAAAAACAAGGAATAATAATGAGAATGATTATAATGATAACAATAACAAAACTATAACAATATTAGTAACGATGATGAAAAAAGACATAATGATAATGACAATAACATATATTATACATATACGTATATATACACCTATACACATATATATGTATATATATATACATATATATGTGTGTGTGTGTATATATATATATGCATGCATATATATATATATATATATATATGCATGTATATATATATATGCATATATATATATATATAAAATACGTGTATATATACGTGTATGTGTGTGTGTGTGAGAGAGTCAGGGAAGGACCTCTAAACATTGGTGACAGGGAGTAGTAAAAGCTTGTGTGTGTGTGTGTGAGTATATATGTATGCGCACATATGTGTGTGTGTGGAGACTTTCAACAGATGATTAATTTAAGGAGAAAGATTGCTATACAATATTACTCTGTAAATCCTTTACTTCATCGTAACCAGCGTGCTACTACACACACATATATGTTTGTGTATGTATATATACATATGTATAAATAAATATGTATGCACATATATGTACACATACATACATACATATATATATATATATGTATATATACACTCATATATACGTATGTGTATATATACATATATGTATATTAATATATATATATACATATATATATATATATGTATGTATGTTTATATATACACACGTATATATATGTATATATGTATATATATATATGTGTGTGTGTGTGTGTGTGTGTGTGTAGATATATGTATATATGTATCTATATAAATATATATTCACATAGCAGAAACCTATCTTAGTTATCACAGTTCAATTCGAATGGATTTAACATTGATATTAATACACTTATCAAGCATCACAACCTTCAATTTCCTGCATGGAAACATGGCTTTTAATGCTTAGCACTTAACAAAAACCCGTCTGAGAAATGCTGGTGAATATCTGCCAGTCCCCCCCCCCATCTGAATTGTGAACACTTGAACAAACTATTTACGGATAATTACTATAATTTATTCTAGTATTTACAACACTACCTTTTGCTATACTGATATGTCTTCAAAATAAAAATACGTAAATAAACATTTGGGTGGGGTTTGGCATTTCTACGTAGACCAGACATTTTTACAATTTTAACCAAAGCATCTTTTAAGTGTCGATTCAATATCGACCTCGACATATATACATATATATACACATAATGTTCAAATGAATATACACACATATCCATATATTCACATGCATTCATGTGTGTATATAAATTGCGAGCAATATTGCAAAATCGTTAGTCAGAAAACCAGAATGCAATACTTCAGGAAACCACTCCCATGCAAAATCTATTTTTAGATATCTAGTAATAAACACACGGAGTGATATAAAAGTCGCGCTGTCTCTCGCAAATTCTGAATTCAGTTTGAATCATCCAGCATGAAGTAAGTATCGAAAAACCTCACTCTGTAATTAAGTTTGAGACCCAAAACCGTAATGTTTTAGCGGCCGTAGTGAGTTTAGTACGTCAGTGTTAAAACGCAATTCGCCCCATGTGTAAAAACTCTTGTATTTATGTAGATGCTCTTGTGAGAAATAGGGTGAGATTGTTTTCTGTCTCTAGTGCTCAGGTGACGTGAATTTGCAGGAAGGTATTGTTATATAACTACTGTCAGGATGTAACTGTGATTTAGACAAAGATATATGATGATTAAGCGACTCTCAGTCGGTCTAGAAGGCGGGGAGCCCTGACACTTTTACTTTTCTCCAGTTATAAGATTATACATTTAGAAAAAAATCCATATGCGTTTGTGTATGTGCATAAATAACACGCACAAATCAAATGCATATATATATATACGTGCAAATGCACATGTATATTCACATATATATCGCTTTACATGTACTTCGAGTTCCAGACTTGTATTGCCACACCAAAGACACATGCGACTATGTCTTCCTACTAACATATGTTTATACCCGTTTTGAATTTTCCATATATCTTTTGGTAATGGATGGTGGTGCTTTCCCTTTTTCATTGATCCAGAGTCATGTCGCTGTCATTTGGGTTTGCAATCGCTATCATATCCTGATGAGTCGTAATGCATAGATCAGCCAGAAAGAATCAAGCTAGTAACTAAAGTGGCTTCATCATCGTAACTTTAGTCGTTATCAGAATCCTAATAGTAAATAGAATCGAAATTATAATCGCATTTAAACAGTGGTTCTACAGCATATGGAAAGATCTTATACATGTATATATATATGACATCATTCTCATTTCATTGCATTTGATATTGCCATGCCAGTTATCCTTCTTATCGATGCTGACATCATTACCGTCAGAATAATTAGTGTTGTTATTGTACCACAGAAACCATCTTTGCAACAACAGTCCTCGTGGTGGTGATGGGCGCAACCGACGCCTTCTCTGCCCCAGGGAAGCATGGGTCCGCCCTCCGACCTGCTATGGAGGCAAAGGAACAGTCCCTTGCCTGAATTAAGAGGTAAGGAAAGAGGGAGATTGGAAGAGTCTGAGAAGGGTGATGAGGGAGGGAAGAAGGTACGGAGAGAATGGGATAGATGGATGGATAAAGAGACGGAGACAGTGAGAGAGAGTGAGACAAAAATAAAAGAAAGAGAGAGAGAAAGAATATGACATTAAATCTCTTGAATGTTCCCACTAATATTTTGTATGTCAAACAGGACCGTGGATGATCATGACCATAATGAATGATGCTCGTGAGCATAAAGTGGAATCCCATGGCCATGGCAGCAGCGAAACCATTGTTCATGACACTACGGAGAAGAAAGGCCAACACCATGATTAGGACCATCATGATTCCCATGTGCACGAGGGGAGGCCCATGATCACAGCAGCAACAAAACCCATGTTCATGACATTATATGCGATTATGACGGTCATGATCATCGTATTAACGTTGGCATGACAATGTCAGTGTTATAATCTTTATTGTGATAAACAAAGTTAATAAATTCACACCTATTTTTCATTGCGTTTACTTCTTTATATACTATACTGGCGAACTGAAATGACATGATTGCATCCTCTAATATTTCATTTGACAAGTCTCAGTGATTTCTTCCTTGCAAGAAGGTTTAATAGCGGGAAATCCTAGCAAGAGGTACTTCAACCTACATGTCCACATTCTGTTCATCACTTGCTGATCTTGCTACACAAACAAAATGCTCACACTTACGGATTACACCATACCCATTCAGTTTCCACAGTGCTTGCCCACTGATGAGCCCTCCTGCAAAATACTTTTTTACATACACATAATCGTACACTGCTTTGTTTCCTGTTTCACACTACACATACACACAGCACATTTTAATTTGTGGTGAAATTCAGCGCCCATGTCATAAAATCGAGAATTCAAAAAAATTGTGTTACACATATTTCTGTATGAATATACATATATAGGCATACATACATATATATATATATATATATATATGTATATATACGCACACATGCACATTTATATGTGTGTGTGAATGTACGTATTTGCAATTATATATCCAAACATAAATATATACATATATATATATATATATGTATATACATACATATATATGTATATACGCGTGTGTGTGTAATAATATATGTAATGATGATAGTAATAATGATAATAATAATAACAATAATGATAAAGATGATAATATTGATAATAATAACAATTATGATGATAATAATAATAAAATTAATAATACAAAAGATGATAGCAGTAATAATAATAATAATGGTAATAAAAATCATGATAACAATTAGATTAATAAAGATAACAGTAATAATAACAAAAAATAATAATGATCATGGAATGAAAATGATGATAACGATCATGATAATAATAATTATAACAATGATGATAACAAAATTAATAATGATGAACAATAAGGGCAATGATGATGATTATGGGTATAGTAATAACAACAATAACAATTATAATAATAATGATAATATATAATAATATAATATAATAATAATAATAATAATATAATAAAAGATAAGAAACAATAATTATGGCATTTGCAATAATAAAAAACAAAGAATAATAATGAGAATGATTATAATGATAACAATAACAAAACTATAACAATATTAGTAACGATGATGAAAAAAGACATAATGATAATGACAATAACATATATTATACATATACGTATATATACACCTATACACATATATATGTATATATATATATACATATATATGTGTGTGTGTGTATATATATATATGCATGTATATATATATATATATATGCATGTATATATATATATGCATATATATATATATATATATAAAATACGTGTATATATACGTGTATGTGTGTGTGAGAGAGTCAGGGAAGGACCTCTAAACATTGGTGACAGGGAGTAGTAAAAGCTTGTGTGTGTGTGTGTGAGTATATATGTATGCGCACATATGTGTGTGTGTGGAGACTTTCAACAGATGATTAATTTAAGGAGAAAGATTGCTATACAATATTACTCTGTAAATCCTTTACTTCATCGTAACCAGCGTGCTACTACACACACATATATGTTTGTGTATGTATATATACATATGTATAAATAAATATGTATGCACATATATGTACACATACATACATACATATATATATATATATATGTATATATACACTCATATATACGTATGTGTATATATACATATATGTATATTAATATATATATATACATATATATATATATGTATGTATGTTTATATATACACACGTATATATATGTATATATGTATATATATATATATGTGTGTGTGTGTGTGTGTGTGTGTGTAGATATATGTATATATGTATCTATATAAATATATATTCACATAGCAGAAACCTATCTTAGTTATCACAGTTCAATTCGAATGGATTTAACATTGATATTAATACACTTATCAAGCATCACAACCTTCAATTTCCTGCATGGAAACATGGCTTTTAATGCTTAGCACTTAACAAAAACCCGTCTGAGAAATGCTGGTGAATATCTGCCAGTCCCCCCCCCCCCATCTGAATTGTGAACACTTGAACAAACTATTTACGGATAATTACTATAATTTATTCTAGTATTTACAACACTACCTTTTGCTATACTGATATGTCTTCAAAATAAAAATACGTAAATAAACATTTGGGTGGGGTTTGGCATTTCTACGTAGACCAGACATCTTTACAATTTTAACCAAAGCATCTTTTAAGTGTCGGTTCAATATCGACCTCGACATATATACATATATATATACACATAATGTTCAAATGAATATACACACATATCCATATATTCACATGCATTCATGTGTGTATATAAATTGCGAGCAATATTGCAAAATCGTTAGTCAGAAAACCAGAATGCAATACTTCAGGAAACCACTCCCATGCAAAATCTATTTTTAGATATCTAGTAATAAACACACGGAGTGATATAAAAGTCGCGCTGTCTCTCGCAAATTCTGAATTCAGTTTGAATCATCCAGCATGAAGTAAGTATCGAAAAACCTCACTCTGTAATTAAGTTTGAGACCCAAAACCGTAATGTTTTAGCGGCCGTAGTGAGTTTAGTACGTCAGTGTTAAAACGCAATTCGCCCCATGTGTAAAAACTCTTGTATTTATGTAGATGCTCTTGTGAGAAATAGGGTGAGATTGTTTTCTGTCTCTAGTGCTCAGGTGACGTGAATTTGCAGGAAGGTATTGTTATATAACTACTGTCAGGATGTAACTGTGATTTAGACAAAGATATATGATGATTAAGCGACTCTCAGTCGGTCTAGAAGGCGGGGAGCCCTGACAGTTTTACTTTTCTCCAGTTATAAGATTATACATTTAGAAAAAAATCCATATGCGTTTGTGTATGTGCATAAATAACACGCACAAATCAAATGCATATATATATATACGTGCAAATGCACATGTATATTCACATATATATCGCTTTACATGTACTTCGAGTTCCAGACTTGTATTGCCACACCAAAGACACATGCGACTATGTCTTCCTACTAACATATGTTTATACCCGTTTTGAATTTTCCATATATCTTTTGGTAATGGATGGTGGTGCTTTCCCTTTTTCATTGATCCAGAGTCATGTCGCTGTCATTTGGGTTTGCAATCGCTATCATATCCTGATGAGTCGTAATGCATAGATCAGCCAGAAAGAATCAAGCTAGTAACTAAAGTGGCTTCATCATCGTAACTTTAGTCGTTATCAGAATCCTAATAGTAAATAGAATCGAAATTATAATCGCATTTAAACAGTGGTTCTACAGCATATGGAAAGATCTTATACATGTATATATATATGACATCATTCTCATTTCATTGCATTTGATATTGCCATGCCAGTTATCCTTCTTATCGATGCTGACATCATTACCGTCAGAATAATTAGTGTTGTTATTGTACCACAGAAACCATCTTTGCAACAACAGTCCTCGTGGTGGTGATGGGCGCAACCGACGCCTTCTCTGCCCCAGGGAAGCATGGGTCCGCCCTCCGACCTGCTATGGAGGCAAAGGAACAGTCCCTTGCCTGAATTAAGAGGTAAGGAAAGAGGGAGATTGGAAGAGTCTGAGAAGGGTGATGAGGGAGGGAAGAAGGTACGGAGAGAATGGGATAGATGGATGGATAAAGAGACGGAGACAGTGAGAGAGAGTGAGACAAAAATAAAAGAAAGAGAGAGAGAGAAAGAATATGACATTAAATCTCTTGAATGTTCCCACTAATATTTTGTATGTCAAACAGGACCGTGGATGATCATGACCATAATGAATGATGCTCGTGAGCATAAAGTGGAATCCCATGGCCATGGCAGCAGCGAAACCATTGTTCATGACACTACGGAGAAGAAAGGCCAACACCATGATTAGGACCATCATGATTCCCATGTGCACGAGGGGAGGCCCATGATCACAGCAGCAACAAAACCCATGTTCATGACATTATATGCGATTATGACGGTCATGATCATCGTATTAACGTTGGCATGACAATGTCAGTGTTATAATCTTTATTGTGATAAACAAAGTTAATAAATTCACACCTATTTTTCATTGCGTTTACTTCTTTATATACTATACTGGCGAACTGAAATGACATGATTGCATCCTCTAATATTTCATTTGACAAGTCTCAGTGATTTCTTCCTTGCAAGAAGGTTTAATAGCGGGAAATCCTAGCAAGAGGTACTTCAACCTACATGTCCACATTCTGTTCATCACTTGCTGATCTTGCTACACAAACAAAATGCTCACACTTACGGATTACACCATACCCATTCAGTTTCCACAGTGCTTGCCCACTGATGAGCCCTCCTGCAAAATACTTTTTTACATACACATAATCGTACACTGCTTTGTTTCCTGTTTCACACTACACATACACACAGCACATTTTAATTTGTGGTGAAATTCAGCGCCCATGTCATAAAATCGAGAATTCAAAAAAATTGTGTTACACATATTTCTGTATGAATATACATATATAGGCATACATACATATATATATATATATATATATATATATATATGTATATATACGCACACATGCACATTTATATGTGTGTGTGAATGTACGTATTTGCAATTATATATCCAAACATAAATATATACATATATATATATATATATATATATATGTATATACATACATATATATGTATATACGCGTGTGTGTGTAATAATATATGTAATGATGATAGTAATAATGATAATAATAATAACAATAATGATAAAGATGATAATATTGATAATGATAACAATTATGATGATAATAATAACAATATTAATAATACAAAGATGATAGCAGTAATAATAATAATAATGGTAATAAAAATCATGATAACAATTAGATTAATAAAGATAACAGTAATAATAACAAAAAATAATAATGATCATGGAATGAAAATGATGATAACGATCATGATAATAATAATTATAACAATGATGATAACAAAATTAATAATGATGAACAATAAGGGCAATGATGATGATTATGGGTATAGTAATAACAACAATAACAATTATAATAATAATAATAATATATAATAATGATATAATATAATAATAATTATAATATAATAAAAGATAAGAAACAATAATTATGGCATTTGCAATAATAAAAAACAAAGAATAATAATGAGAATGATTATAATGATAACAATAACAAAACTATAACAATATTAGTAACGATGATGAAAAAAGACAATGATAATGACAATAATATACATATACGTATATATACACCTATACACATATATATGTATATATATATATATACATATATATATATATATATGTGTGTGTGTGTGTGTGTGTGTGTGTGTGTGTGTGTATGCATGTATATATATATATAATATATATATATATATATATATATATATATATATACATATATATATATATATGCATGTATATATATATATATATATATATATGCATATATATATATATATATATATATATATATATATACATATATATATATATGACACAAACACAAACACAGTAACGTGAACACACAAATGAAAGGAAACTGCCACAGTGAGAAACGAAATTGAAATGTAACGTTTCGAACTCTTCACGAGTTCCTCTTCAGACAACTGAAAAAACAAAGTGGTTTTTTGGTTTTTCAGTTGTCTGAAGAGGAACTCGTGAAGAGTTCGAAACGTTACATTTCAATTTCGTTTCTCACTGTGGCAGTTTCCTTTCATATATATATATATATATATATATATATATATATATATATAATATGTGTATATATACGTGTGTGTGTGTGTGAGAGAGAGTCAGGGAAGGACCTCTAAACATTGGTGACAGGGAGTAGTAAAAGCTTGAGTGGCTTAAACCCTTATTTAAATATAAGAGTTCAGCACACGGTTATGATAACACAACGACAAGTCTTGGGTTTCGTGCGGGTCACCTGGGGACACGGGTGACCACCGCCTCAGCGGGCAGACCGGCCCAGCGGGCAGTTGTGACCTTGACCGCGCCGGAGTACACTCTGGATTAACAGGGGTCATCCTTGGAGAATAAGTAGCGGCGGTCACCGGAAGCTGGGGCAGAGCCACCAGCTGGAGTATGGCGTGGTAACGAAACTGCCACGTGGTATGTATACAATATATTGTATAGTGTGTATATATATGTGTGTGTGTGTGTGTGTGTGTGTGTGTGTGTGTGTGTGCACTTATGAGTGCTTCAAATTTGTCAACATCAGTTGTAATACAATTAATGAAAATGTTCCTTTGGTCTCGCCGCCACTACCGGGGTTTTGGGTTGAAGCAAACCCCGAGAAAACCCAATTTTGAGTAAATGTTAATAACTTATTGGTCTTAAAAAGCTCGAGAAGTGGTTTGAATTGATTCCTCTGCTAAGTGTGCCAAATATACAATGGTCAGAAAAAAGGTTTAACCAATTTCTTTCTCTCTACAAATTAATTATAGTAAGTTAGTTAAGTTTATTTACCACCCTTGCTATCTGCTCAGGCGTGGGTATTCATTACAATTCAACATATAATTGATACAATACAATAGTCTGTGACTACATGGTAAAATATAAATATAAATCATACATCATGTAAAACATATTACGTTGATATGTTTTAGCCTGTTTTTACATAATACTGTAATTTGTTTACGACAGTTTTACATAGAGAATTTAGGATATAGTATGAGTATATCTTCCAATGTATCAGATAAAAATAAATATCCACATAGTTCTTTATACCTAATGTTAAGTGGTCTGAAAGGCTGTATCACATGACATTCCGAGATATAGTGCTCAAGCGTTTGCTTGTTTTCTTCATTACATTTAGATTCATCTGCACTTCTTGCATCGTGCAGTTACCAGTACATTCTGTTACATTGCCTGGTTTGACTTCGGTGCCACTAATAAGAAGGTTTGCTATCTCTATACTGATCGTCGTGTCTTATAGTACAGCTTTCAGGCTTATTAGTGTTTGTCAGATCTACCAGGTCTTCCCTATGAGAACTTTTCAATATATGTGCAACCCTAGCAAGAGTCAATCCAAGACCTATGTTTACAGTATCTTTGCTGCAGGCTTCCTACGCCAATTTGTCGTGCTTGCGTATGTCAACATGAGATGGTATCCATGATTCATTGTTGAAATTGCGCTCTATTGCATAAGTTACGTTACGCTTAATGCAACTCACAATTTCCTCATCGCCACCTGCTTTTAAAGAATTTAGTGTCTGAAGAGAGTCACAGAAAACTACTCCAGAGCCCCGAGACATTCAGAATTCCGTTGCTAGGAGTGTACCTGCCAGCTCCGGTTGTGTAGTGATGGCCCATTTTTGCACTCTCATATTAACTTGATGTTGTAGTCAGCTATCTTTGTACACAGCGCAAGCTCAACCAGTTTTGTATCCAGACTGTATGGATTTATCAACGTAACACTCGTATACATCATCGCCCATATATTGTGTGTGTTCCTTTACTGTTGCTAACGCAATTTGCTTTAACATGCTTTTTTTGTGGTAGACATGTAAGGTGCATGATCAATGTTGAATTTTTCCATAGTGGAATGGATCAACCTTTGGTATTTTATCAAGTGGGACATTGAACTTTGTAATGTTCATGGAGATCTTGTGTATCAGAGGGTAAACGTGTGTATTAGTCACGTCTGCCTGCAGTTGTGTTTGGAGATCTGACAGATACAAGTGTTCCCTAAGAGCTTTGACCCCAAACATGGTGGGAGTAAATATTCAGAAATGGAGGGTAAGTTTAGTTCTGAGCTCATGTTCACTGCTTTTCTCGGGTCGCCGAAGGTAATCCTCACAGCTTCATTTTACACTACCTCCAAGCTATTTATTTCTGATTTCTTATACTGCAACAAGTGCAATGTATGGTAGTCTACAACTGACCTTATAAAAGCCAAGTATAATAGTCTAGCGAGCTTAATACTGATGTCATGTTATCTCCCAATAAAAATCAATAAGTTTCAATCTCTCCCAGAGTCCCTTCTTTAGAAAAAGGACCAGGTCTTCATAATTTATATTCACTCCCGAGATATTTGTACTTATGACACATGAGAAGCTCCTATTTTCGCCTATTGGAAAAATGTCACCAGCTTGTGCATGAGGACATTGAGCAGCATAAGGCTGAGAATTCTTCCCTGTGGCATCTCAAGTTCAAAAGATTGTGGATTGGAAGTTCTCACTCCCCAGAACAAGACACGCAAATCTGTTCAAAAGATATATTCTAATCCAGCTCAATAATGTACCCCGGATGCCAAAGCTTACTAATTATTCTAGGATAAATTCTCTCTCCTTTCACACTCTTTATATTGATCTATTTTTCCTTTCCCAAATCGCTCCTTGACAACTGGAATTGTCTCCTTTGACTTATCATGTTGCTGTTTCCACGGGCCAAAAAGGGGGGGGGGGATCCTAACCGAATCGACACGTACGGCAAGAATACATGGCATGCCCACTGCAATATAAGTTTATTTACTGTATTTACACATAGATGGCTCTACAAGTACTTAGTCACCAAGGAGTCAGTTATCAATCCTATCTATCTCATCTGTTTACCCTTTTTCTCGAATTTTGGAAAGGGGTCTTTTGCATTATTTCATTTTTCTTAAATGTTGCCAAGATTTTAATATCAATTTCAGAATCCAAGCATCAATAACAATAATAACAATATCGATATCAATTGTATTCAAAAGATAAGCATATTTTCCCGCCAAGGCAAGGAATGGGGAAATCAGTATGGCTGAGCAAATGTATGTAAAAAAAAATCACAAAAAACTCCAGGGGGCAGGGCATAAATTAGTAGCAATTGGATTAACAATGGCTAGCTGTAAACATTGCGTTTTGAGTCGCCTTATTTTCTTTATATTAATTCACTTATCAAGCATTACAGCCTTCAATAACCTGCCAAAACAACGATTTTAATGCCTAGTACTTAGCAGACCTGCGTGTGGAAGGAAAGCAGTTTTGATAAAACTCACCTTTGCTATACTGCCTTCAAAATAATAATACATAAATAAACATTTGGATGGGGTTTAGCAATTCTACGTGGTGTAGACACCTTTACAGTTTTAACCAGTACACCTTCCAAATGTCGAATCAATATCAATCTCGACCTATATATGTGTACAAACTAATATCTCTGTACAGACTCATATCTCTGTACAGACTCATAATACACTCATATCCTTATATTCGCATACATTCATGTTTACGTGCATTAAAAATATGAGCTATTCTGTAAAATCGTTAGTCAGTAAAGCAGAATGCAATACTTCAGAAAACCACGCCCACACAAACTATTTTTAGATATCTAGTAATAAACACGTGGAGTGTTATAAAAGTCGCGCTGTCTCGCTAATCCATTCTTTCGCAGTTGAATCACCCAGCATGAAGTAAGTATCAAAAGACCTCACTCTAGAATTCAGTTTGCGACTTAAAACCTTAATACTTTTGCGGCCGTGGTGAGTTTAGTACGTCAGTGTCAAAGCGCAATTCGACCTCATGTGTAAAAACTCAAGTATTTATGCAGACGCTCTTGTGAGAAATAGGGTGAGATTGTTTTCTGTCTCTAGTGGTCAGGTGATTTATAGAAGAGAGACATGAATTTGCGGGAAGTTATTGTTAAATAAATAAATACAGTTAGGATGTAACTGTATAGACAAAGAAATATAACGATTAAATGACGCTCAGTGTGTCTTGAAGGCGAGGAGTCATGACATTTGTTCTTTTCTCCAGTTATATAGTTTATTTTACACTTAGAACTTATACACACACACACCCAAATATGTATATGTGTGCGTCTGTGTGTGTACGGAAATCACACGCACAAAGCAAAGGTACATACACATAAACATATACTGTACATTATTTTCCAGACTTGTAATGCCACACCTACTAACATATGTTTACACTTGTTTTAAGTTTTGCACATATTTTGGTAATGGATGGTGCTTTCCCTTTTTCATTGATCTAGATTCATGTCACTGTCATTTGAGCTTGTAATTGCTATCATATCTTGATAAGTCGTAATACATATGGTAGATTTACTATTCATCACAACAGCAGCGAGAACCACAGCTATAATTATAACCAGAACCATGGTAGTAACCAAAGTGGTTTCATGATCGTAACTTTAGTCGTTATCAGAATCCTAATAGTAAATGGTAATCGAAATTATAATCAAATTTGAACAGTGGTTGTACAGCATATGGAAAGATCTTTTATATATATATATGTATGTTTGTATTACATCATTCTCATTTCATTGTATTTTATATTATCATGAGTTACTACTAATTATATTTCATTACTATTATCTTTATTGCTATCTTCATGCCAATCATCATTACTCTTATGGATACTGACATCATTACCATAAAAAATAATTAGTAGTATTATTCCCAAGAACCGTCAGTGCAAAAATTCTCGTGCTTGTGATGGGCGCAACCCACGCCTTTTCTGCCCCAGGGAAGCATGGGTCCGCCCTCCGACCTGCTACGGAGGCAGAGGAACGGATTAAGAGGTAAGGAAAGAGGGAGAGTGGAAGAGAGGGGTGATGAGGGAGGGAAGAAGGGACGGAGAGAAAGGAATCGATGGATAGATGGGTGGATAGAGAGACGGAGACAGGGAGAGAATGAGACAAAGTAAAATAAAAGAGAGAGAGAGAGTATGAACATGGCATTAAATCTCTTGAATTTTCTTACTAATATTTTGTATAACAGGACTGTGAATGATCATGCCCACAATGGCACCCGTGAACATGAATTGGAATCCCATGATCATGGCAGCAACGAGACCCAAGTTCATGGCACTATGGGGCAACATGGCATTAACCACCATCACCATGAGCAGGACATTCATTCCAATTATGTGCACGAGGAGGGAA